CGGCCCGGCCCGGGGCGGCTGCAGCCCCTTCTCCGGGCCCGGGCGGAGGCCCCTCGTAGGTGGAGTGGGGCAGCGCACAGGTACGGCAGCGTCGACGGCGCTCGCGTTTTGCCTCACGGACACCCTCCACCCGCTGCAAAAGAAGCTCCTGGGATGGGTCCGGTGAGCGTGTTAACTTAAGCATCTCGACATCCCTTTTACGTTCTTAATGCACAGCAGGAAAGTGGAGCTTTTCATACTAGAGGTCATAAATGTTAATTTAACCTGCGGTAATCAGTTTGGCTTTTCTTTTTACCGAGTGCTAAACAGTCTCCCAAACTGCTTAAGAGGTGGTGCTGTGGGGGAAGGCGCTGGAGTAAACGCACCGTCCCGTAAACACACATAAAAAGCTTTATACCCTTGAGTGTTTCCAGTGAGTTTGGAAAGGAAGAAAAAATAACACTGTCCTTGAGAGGCTTCCAAGTCTCATTCATCTGAGAGGCACTGAGCAGCCAAATTCCCACCTACACCAAGTTTCCCTCCCCTGCATAGTATCATTGCAGTGAAAAAATGCATAAAATAGATTCTGCGGTACTGGGCCAAAGAAGAACGTCATTCTTCTCGCTCTTCTTCCAGAAACTAATCGTATCAGCAGTTGAAGAAAAAAAATTCAAGCCAGTTATATATTAAACACATAAAACAGCATTAGTGAATTACTGAGGCTGAACCATCAAATATTCAAAAGTCAGGAAATTACTAACTTCTCCAAAGCAATATTGCCTTGGCTTCATTACACATCCTACACACCTCACAGGATATAGATTAAATAATAATAAAACTATAGATGTGCAGTGAAAACAACTGAATGTCACAGCAGAAACCTTAGCTTTGGGATTTTCTTGGTTTTCAAGTGCTTACTTTCCCAGCCTTCATTTCGCAATAATTTTTGGCTGTGTTTTAACAGCCAGTATTTGCAACTCCCACTGAAGTAAATAAAATTGTTTGGGGCTTTGTATCCTTCACACGTAACCACGCGCTTCTTGTAGCTCAGGGTTTTTTTAGAAAAAATCATCAAATGTGCATCTTTGTATACCGTGAGAGGCCCTTGAAGCAGGCAGCTTTAACTTACCCGCTGTTAAATTTAACTTCTCTAATGGGATCAGTCTGGACGAAAAGGGCCGGGGGAGAGGGGGAGCAATGCCTGTCCCTGCTCCACCAGCGGCAATGGGAAGAGCCAGGCAGGGACCTTTCTGCAGCCGCCCAGAGCAGCTCAGCTGCAGTAGCCAGGCAGGCTGGCTGCATCCTGCACGCAGGGATCTTGCAGAACCAAAAGGGCTTCAGCAACAGCCAGTAAAGCTGGGTACATGAGAAAGCACGCATGAGGAGGGAGATGGTCAAAATCTTGTCTGTACCTCTCTCTTTCTCTACCTCCCTCTGCCCTCCATCTCTACCACCGTACGTACAGTAAAGCATGCAGAATTTGAAACCCTTTGCTGCAAAAAATGGCCAATAATTTAGCAAGACTGAATTTGGATTGGATGATTATCCAAATACTGAGACATTTTATTTGTGGAAAAACTCCATTTGAAGTGTACCAGAAAGGAGAAAAAAATGCCGTATTTCGGGATTTCAGTAAATCTGTGTTTTGGATTATATTAAATATTTTATAAGCCTACTGTGAGTTTGTTTCTCTCGTCTCAAGCAGCTGATGCTTGCCACTTTTATAGGCAGAAGAGTAGTCTGGCGGCCTGTCAGACTGATCTACTGTGTGATTCCAACCAGCCTCTTGGGCTGGTGTCTGTCTTGGCAGATACGACCATCAAGTCCCTTGGAATTTATTTTATAATTGGAGAAAAAATAGGTAAGATCTCTTTCCCAAAGTAAATATGTGCCTTGTCACTAGAGTAAATTGACTGGATGCGGTGACTAAACCTCGCCTCCCTGGAAGAGCAGGAAGAATAGAGAAAGTTCATGTTTAAAATAGAGGGCATACGAGAGAAAACCCTGTTGAGATGAGGCTCACATCTCTCAGCTATTATTTCAGTCTCTGTGAAAACTTAAGCAGACATCTATGCCCAGGTTACACTTAGTTCATGTTTTTAAGACTGCTTTGCAACCACAGCAGCTTTTAATGAAAGACGATGTTCTAGGAAAGGTGCTGGTATTCAAAGCCACCTCTTGCTGCTGCCTTGTTTTCAGCCCTTCTCTGGGAAAGGGTTGAGGCGGAAAGAGAAACTGAAAGAAAAACCTAATAAATAGATACGCAGAGAATAGATTACTTCAGTATATTCTAAATCCGGGAAAGTCTAGTTTGCTTTTCCTTAGTCTTTGGTTTTCCTTTCCAAATTAGAACAATGAAGCACATGATATTTGGGCTTTTCAGAGTCAACTGTTCTACCGAGTAATCTAGAAGACACAAAGCATTTTTCTTTATGCGTTGCATAACATGAAAATGCCTAAATTCTCTCTAAAAGGTTAGCACAGGGACTGATACAAGAGGATTTGCAGGGGATGGGGAGTGAACATTTCTTTCATAGATATGAGCAACTAAAAATCAGGTAATTTAAAGATTCCTACTCACTCTTAATGGTAGTTTGCCCGCAGTGATTAGTCATCTTTGTAGCACTGTAATAATGTAAAGGAGCCTTAAAACTGATAGAGCTATAGGCACTATTCAGCTCTTGCATGCTGTCAGTAAAAGAGGTCTTGATGTAAACTGAATTGGACTTACAAGTCATAATGTTCTCCCAAACTGATTAATGCTTTCAGTAAGAGGTTGCACGAAAAGTACCCAAAAGTCTACTTCATCTGAATCAGATAAGAAGTGGGTGGAAGTGCCATCAGGGCAGCTCCATCTCAAGGATCAATGTAAAATGCATAGCATACTTTTTAGTTTACAACCAAATTCAATATGGAAACAACAGGAGATGTAGTTGAAAAACACCAAACAGAATCCAAAAACAAGCATCCACATCCTTTCTAATATGGAGCAATCTGCCATTCTCTGCCAAATCAAAACCATGTGAGTTTGGGTCTATAAAAGTGATGCAGAGCAGGGTTAGGATCTCAAAAAGGGATATGAGAAGCAGACAAGAAATGGCCACGCATCACATCGCTTGGAAATGGTGGAGCAAGGGAGAGAAGTTCTGTGAGAATCCAGTTACTTTTTAAGAGCTGAAACCATTACGTACTGTCCTGGTTTCAGCTGGGGTAGAGTTAACTGTCTTCCTAGTAGCTGGTACGCTGCTATGTTTTGAGTTCAGTATGTGAAGAATGTTGATAACACACTGATGTTTTCAGTTGTTGCTAAATAGTGTTTAGACTAAAGTCAAGGATTTTTCAGCTTCTCATGCCCAGCCAGAAAGAAAGCTGGAGGGGCACAAGAAGTTGGCACAGGACGCAGCCAGGGCACCTGACCCAAACTGGCCAACAGTGTATTCCATACCATGTGACGTCACACCTAGTATAGAAACTGGGGGGAGTGGGGGCAGGGGGTTGCCGCTCTGGGACTAGCTGGGTGTCGATCGGCGGGTGGTGAGCAATTGCACTGTGCATCATTTGTACATTCCAATCCTTTCATTATTGCTGTTGTCATTTTATTAGTGTTATCATTATCATTAGTAGTTTCTTCTTTTCTGTTCTATTAAACCGTTCTTATCTCAACCCATGGGTTTTGCTTCTTTTCCTGATTTTCTCCCCCATCCCACTGGGTGGGGGGGAATGAGTGAGCGGCTGCGTGGTGCTTAGTTGCTGGCTGGGGTTAAAACACGACAGTACGCACATTTAGTGATTTTCTTTTGGCAGGGAGAAGGTAAAAGGGACAGAGAGAAGGGAAAAGCACAAAGCCTCTGAAGACAAGAAGTATTCTGTTAAGCATTTAGCATGGGGGAATTTGAATCTTTCCAATACAACCTGCAAGAACGCATGCGTTGTGCCAGGAGATTCACAGGGAGTGCAGGAAACAGAATCTACCCTACAAACAGAGACAACCCTATTAAAAAA